CTGAGTACATCTTGGCTGCACTGTCCGATATTCACAAATTTTCATTTTTAGAAAGCCTCAATCTAACTCCTTTTTGAGCAGTCAGTCTATAGTATAGTATAGTAGTATATGTTCTTGCGAATTAAAATATCAATAAAAGCAAATGAGAGGGAAATGGATGCAAATTTTCTTCTTTTTTTATTCACTTTGAATTTGATGGATAAATGGATGCAAAACAACCCTTAAGCATGATCAACCCACCTCCATGCTAAACAGTTGAAGCTGGATATTAGTTTGGATGCCATTTAAAGCTCGATTCACCTGTTTATTTGAACTGTCTTATAAAGCTCTCGATTTAAACCTTTCCAACGATAGCTTTTAACAGCTTACAGGTCCCTACAAGCTGTAAAGTACGGAGACCTTAGAACAAGCTTCAAGAGTTCGGCCAACTTTTAGCACTTTCCTCTTTTCCGTTTTTTTTTTCTCGGAAAGCATTACAAGAGAGGAGTGATATGCAATAAAAGAAAGTGGGGAGGTGGAATTTTCTTGGAATTGATTCGTCTTCAGATCACCGAAGGAGAGCACCAAAATCTTGATCCGCTTAATGAAGCCACTAATGACGAGCTCCATTAGTTTAATGTATGCTTTTATCGCCCTGCCCTTAGATGACTGTAGCATTTCATTAGACATGTCTGCCTCATATCTCACTTTGCACCCAGAGGAAACTGTGAAGGGATTAATTTTTTTTTATAGACCCCCTGCCTCTTCCTGCCTCCCGTCCTCCTCCCGCTCGTCCCTCCTCCCCTCCCACCCTACTCCCCTCAACTCAGCTCCCAGCCACAGACAGAGGGCCCAGGAGGAATAGTGCCTTTGTCATCCTGCCGTTTTTCAGAGTTGGGGAACAAGAGGAGTTTAATCCTTATTGTCCAGGAGGCTGCAGAGGGTGAAGGGGGGTCCTCCGGCTGTAAAATGATCCAACTGGCCTTGGGCTAATCCCCTCCTAACCCCCACTCTCTGGCCTGGACCTCCTCCTGGCCTTAATGCACACCCCCACACCGCCACAGTATCGAGCTATAAACACACAAATCCTTACTCATAGAGCTGATCTTCAAGCAATCTTTAAAAAAAAATACAAGTACTGTACGTGAATTATTGAATCGATGCATTTTTTTCTCTCACTTTGTCTCTTTTTTGTAAACATCTAAAGGAGGATGCTGTCATTTGTTGGGATGGTTGTAGTGGTTTAGGGTTAGGGTGTGTTTGAGTGGGATTTAACCTGATCACCTGCACGTGGGCTTAATCAACCAGTCAGTCAGAGGTGTCAAACTGACTCCCACACACGCATATTCACCTATTCACCTCAGTGTGTTCGCGTATTTGAGCCACACAGCTGTTTCAAATGTCGAAAAGCCTCATTTGACACGTGACGTGCGAAGCAAACAGCCTTGTCAACACTGGAAGATATGTGAGTGGATGTGTGTGAGTGTTTGCATGCAATATGTAGGCTGGTGAAAAAAAAAAAAACAACAAGCAAAAAGCTCAGATTTTGTATTCCTTTCATTAACTAAAGGATTATTTGGAGAGCGGGCAGGACAGGACTGGACATATATTTGACGTTAAGTCTCCCTATAACGGCAGAGAAGCTGAGCACAAATCTTCAGCTTTCAGTTTTCCTACCTTGTGCAAACCCCTCCATCCCTCCCTTCTTTCTGGCTGTTTCATCTCTCTCCTGTTCTGTCTTCATCTCTTCGCTATTTCTCCTTCCCCTCTTGTCTTTCTTTTACTGTGCTCCTCCCTGAGTGACAGCTCAATACACAGCTCTCTTAGGCTTATCTAGCCTCAGCAGATGGTTGACTTGGATCACTGTTCATACGCCACGATCTGTGCTGGTGATAAAGACAGTTACAGAGGGAATATATGCTATCTCTCCCTTGCTTGCTCTTTATTTCTATTGCTCCTTCTCCTCTTGATCCACTTCATTAATTCATCCCCTCTCCATCCACCTCTTTTCAGCTCTTTGATTCAACCCTCTTTCTATACCTGCCCGGCCCTCTCCACTTCTCCTTCCCGTGTCCTCTCTGTCCCACTACCTGCTCCCCCTCGGCCGTGCTCGCCGCGTCTCCCCATCTCCCTCCATCCCTCCATCTCTGCGCATTGAATCTGGTGCTCTGTGATTGTCTCTGGCTCCCTGCTGGGCTGGCGCCTGTCTAAAGGGCCCTAGGACCTGCACGCACCAAGGGGTCTGCAGTCATGCCAGCGTTTCCTCCTCTTCTCCTCTCCTCTGACATATCAGTTCATCTGGCCACTCCTCATCTCCAAAGAATAGATAAAAAGGTCAAATTGTGCATCCTTTTTAGGCAGTTCTCTTCTCTGTTATCAAAGTTTCCCCGCATAGTCGGCCTCAAAGCACACACACACTATCTGTGTGCTGCAAATATGTGGAAAACAGAGCAGTAATCTTCAAAGTGCAGCAGCGTTTCATTTATGTGATCACTTCATTTGTGCAAGTGATGCACACTTCACAGGCTACAGTCACCCATTTTATGTATACTTCACTTGTTTGGATCGCTCGCACGTTTTTTTTCTGTTTTCACAGCAAGACAACAAAGCGAATGGGTAGGGTATATCTGCCACTCGTGGATGAAAAAGGCTCTAAGTGCTGGGAGCGATATGAATGAGAGCGTATAACACAGCACCTTGTATGGCAACAAGGAAACAGACTGGCAAAGACATCCCCTGCACACACTCACACACACACACACTCACACACACACACGCACACTGTTCATCAGACCTACCCTGTAATGTGTGCCAGTGTAATGTGAGAGGGGAAAGCATGAAAGGAGGCACAAACTGTGTGACCGTGAGCATGGCTTTGCTTTGAAATGTCAGAAATATGTTGAAATTCATCACATAATAAGAACAGAGGTGCCAGCATGGGTTTATATGGAGCTGCCATCTCATATGTGTCGAAAAACCTCCTACCCAAATGTTTTACTGGTGGCTCTTTCTCTCACTTCTCCAGACAGTTTCCAACCATCTTAATCTGAACAGTGGAATCTGGCAACCACTCTGGAGCACCTGCATCCGCCCAGCCTGACCCACTTTTGTTCTGGTCCGACCCCCTAACTTTAGCCCCTAATTAACCCAACAGAAACTAATTAAATACAGCTCTAGCGGACCAGACGCCAGACAGAAAAAAAAAATGGAAGGAGGACAGCAAAGTGAACGGAGTGAGGGGAGCAGGCCAATGTGACAGGCAGGAGTAGGAGATTGGTGGGAGGGGTAGAGGATGGTGAAGATCCAACGCTTGGCGACTAAAAAAACAGACCTGATGGAAACGGGAAACTTGGGTTTCAGTGTGAACCGGCTTGTCCTTACCTGCGTCTGAACCCAACGCGGACCTCATCCTTTTTAACAAACGTTTAACGAACGTTTTCTTTTCAAGGTATCTTGGCTTCTTCCTCATAAATCAAAATGTCTGCCAACTGCTGTAATCACAAGCACACCAGTCACATGATGCAACTGACACCCTGGAGATATTTGGAAGAGAGTAGAGACAGGATGGGAAGAGTGAGGAGAAACAAGAGCAGTATATAATGAAAATGGAGGCTGGGGGTGGGGGGGTCGGAGGAAGGTATGGGACAGACTTGTGACAAAGAAGATAGGCCTATATAAATATGGCCCAAACCAGCCAAATGTCTCTGGCAAGACACTTGTGCTCCCAGTCCCAGGCACAGCTTTCTAAGTGATAGAGAAAGTAATTAAGAGAAGCCTGTTCAAGTAGATAGGCCTGGAAAGGAGATTTGAAGAGGGGAACTGATTGTGCATGTCTGATTCCAGCTCTTCTGAGACTTCTCCGCCTCAAGGCTTAGCTTTAAAAGAGCCATCTCTCTCCCATTCTATCTCCATCCTTGTAATATATATTTACAAAAACGTATAACTTGTATTTTTGTGCCAAAACCTTTCATGTTACTTATCATAGAACGCATTGTTCTGCATTGATTCGGTCTCCATTGAGGTGTTTCTCCTGCTGGACTGTTTTATGTCTGTGAGAAGCATATGGGAATGTTATTTAGCAACTATTATTACCAAATAGTGAAAAAATCTCAGATTACACAAACCTGCTTTTGGACATGATAAAGAACCACAAACCCATGGATAAACTTGGTCACAATCCAAGTACACTCAAGGTCAGTTATCTCGTATTGTGTCGCAGGGTCACCTATCTTGAGATGCATGTCATATTCAGATGGAAAATATACCTGATTGGGGGGGTTGACTTGCTCACAGAGGCCGTGCTAACAAACATTCGTGCCTTTCTCCAATATTTTGTGTTTAAGAGTAACTGTCCAAAGCTGCAGGATGAAGCGTCAATCCGATCAGACAGCGACATCTGCTGGAAAAACTGCGGTATTGTTGTTACGAAAGGAAATTCCCTCTGGCGCCCTCTGCTGGTGAATAAGTAGAAAAAGGTTGCACAGCGCAGTGAACCACTGGGAAAGACCTCTCTGGTGACATGGGTGGAGATAGTAAAACACACCAAGTGTGCAACTCCTTCAAACTGTCATTTTTCTTATTAGTCTTTTTTACCCCATTTCTCTCAACCGTCCGTGTTCTCTCCTTAAATGCCATCGCTTGTGATGCATTAATGAACCAAATAACAGAAAACACCAATGTAAACGGAAATAGGAAATCAGTTTTTATTCATTTGTGAATGGTCATCAGTGAATATAGCGTTACTTTCAAAAACTTCAACCATCATTCGTTTCACTACTGTCGTAAAACAAGCCTTTCTGTCGCAATGGCGTTTTACGGCGGCGGCATTTTGCGGCAGTAGGGAAATCGAGGAGAAAGCTGTGACAAACGTCGCCAGCGGATACGCTACCGCCTCGAAAACTCTCGGATTAATCCGAAATCCGGCCTGCTGGTTTTTTATATTGACTGAATATCCCTTCGCTTTGTTAATGAAATTGCGTTCAACGATTCCCACGCGCGAATCTCCACCTTAATGCAGTGGGATGGCCACAGTGCCGCCTGGGCCTAGTAGCGCACTGCCTGCATCCCCGGCTGAAATTCCTCCTTTCCCCGGGGCTGGGAGAGCGGAACCGGCGGTGGAAGACGGAGAATCGACCTGTCACGGGGAGGACTGCTTGCCCGACTGTACGGGGAACAAGTCGAAGCCGGTCAGCGAGGTCAAAAGGTCGGTCAAGAAGAAGCAGAAAGACATGCTAGCGCGAGCTAGCCCGGCGGCGCTGCACCTCAAAATGCAAGTCCGAGAGCAGCAGCAGCAGCAGCTGAACGGCTCGGTCAGCCCCTCGGAGGACTCTGACAGCCACCAGCACGCGGGAAGCCTGTCTGACAATCTGACGTCGTCCGCGGACAACTGTGACAGCAGCGGCAGCAGCAGCGACGGGGCCGCGGCTACCAACAACAACGAGCACTGCCCGCACGAAGGCCACGGCCCCTTCGCCAAAAACGGCACTCACCCACCTTTGATGAGCAGCAGCGTGAACGGGATGCCGCCGTTCACGAGGACTGACGCGGCCCACGGAGGGGAGCGGGAGTTCGACCACACGCAGGCCCCGAGACCGCCCGGCGGCGAGCCTCTGGACGCCGGCGGCCCCAGCGGGGACGAGAGCCCCGGGGGGCCCGGCCAGCAGCCGCCCCCTCCGGCCGAGCAGCTGGCCCGGCTGGACCTGAGCGGCCCCCCCGGCCGGGCGGAGCGGGACGACCACGACATCCGCTACGTCCGCTACGAGTCCGAGCTGCAGATGCCGTGGATCATGAGACTCATCACCAAGGACTTGTCTGAGCCTTATTCAATTTATACGTACAGGTACTTCATCCACAACTGGCCGCAGCTTTGCTTTCTGGTGAGTACAGCGGGGGGAACCCACAACGCCTTTCCCTCGGCTCAGCGACTTGGGAAAAGTGTACTTTGGGTTGCATAACGTTTTGGAGCGGGGCGTGGCTCCATTTCCACAGCTCATTTTCGACTGTCAATAAGTCTTTAAAGCAGTCAGATGTGTAGTGACCATATCAGGTGATGATGCAAAAGCAGAATCCTGGTTACCCCATCCACTTTACTGTCACTAATTCCTCTTTTGTTGTTAGCTGACAAGATCCCTTAGTTTACTGGCGCTAATTTGGAACATGGAGTGTTAGAAAACAGCCATCCAATGGGCCTCCAGTGTATGGCTCCATTTTAAGCCTCCGGTGTGCAGTGAGGGAGCTCTTTGTTTATACATTGAGACTCAAGGTTGCAAACTTCCCTTTCCCGGCCGTTTTGGAGCGCCACATGAGGAAGTATGTTGACACGAAGGCCGGCGGTCATCTCAGGAAGCCAGCCAACGGGAACTGTTGCCAGACGTTGTGCGCCCACCCCGTCTGACACCCCAAGGACCTAACAGTTGTGTTTGTGCGTCGCAGGCCATGGTGGAGCAGGAGTGTGTCGGAGCCATCGTGTGTAAGCTTGACATGCACAAGAAGATGTTCCGCCGCGGCTACATCGCCATGTTGGCCGTGGACTCCAAACACAGGAGGAAAAGCATCGGTGAGATCCAGTGTCCGAATAACGGTTCCAGGTTGTTTTTTTTTAACTGTTTAAGTATACCATATAGATCCGTAATAAAGTGTGAGTGAGACTTGATATGAGGCATCGAGGCAGAAACTACAGAATGCTGATGATGTTTAGGAAAGTTTGTCCTAGTTTCTCCAGTCGGGTCTGAATTCTCTTTTTTTATTTCAGGTACTAATCTGGTGAAAAAGGCCATCTATGCCATGGTGGAGGGGGACTGTGATGAGGTAATTGGAATGGAACACAACCTGAACGAGCTGTGTTCCATCTTTATCCTCCCAAGAACTTTTGTATTTAGTCATTATTGGCTGACGTAGGAGTGTGTGCGCGGTCTGATCAGAACCACACAGAGGAAAAGTAAACCTTTTAATATATCAAAGCTCGGCCCATAACCATAAAAACGGTAATCTGGACTACTCCTGTGGCGCCGTTGTATAAATGGTTATCGAGCTGCTTTGACGGCACCATTTGCTGGTGTTACAACCAATGCGGTGAGCATTTTGGGTAATTTCTCCCTCAGATCTGTCACATGTTGGCCACATTGCCTGCATAGAGGACTTCAAAGTCTCCATAAACAGGCTAAACCGGGTTTAGAGTGACCTTTGTGGGTTCACCGATGGTGTCTGAACAGGTTCGAGGGTCTGGAGGTCCACCTCGTCTGCCTGCTCCCTGCTGTGCAGTTACCCTCTAAATGTTTTAATGAAGCGCAGATGATGAAACCCCCAGATTTGTCCTCCTAATTACATTATGGCCGGTTTGCCAGTAAACACCCATTAGTTAAGAGATTCTTGAGCAGGTGGTGTTCTTCCATTACACCGCCTCCGTTCGGCTGCTTTGCCCCATTTATTTCAGATGTTTGTTTTCGGGGCGCTAAATTCAGAATAAGAATGAAATGTTTTTGCCTATTTCCCCCCCTCTTAACTCAGTAAAAGCGGGGGCCCTCGATGTGGCAGTGACCGGCCGATGAACAGGAAAACGCTAGCCGCCGTCCGTCCGCTCACTCGCTCCCTGTTTGTGCGCCCCCCCTCAGGTCGTGCTGGAGACGGAGATCACCAACAAATCGGCCCTGAAGCTGTACGAGAACTTGGGTTTTGTCAGAGACAAGCGGCTGTTCAGATACTACCTGAACGGAGTGGACGCGCTGCGGCTCAAACTGTGGCTCCGCTAGAGGGAAGCAGAAGGGACGCGGGGCGGGTGGGGGGCGGGTGGGCGGAGGGACGGCGTCTCCGACACCATCAGCTCAACAACCTCAGCTCTGCCCCAGCCATTTAGCTCCTGCACTCACCAAACCCTCGTGGACACACACACACACACACACACCTTACACACCTGAGTTCAGACTGGACGCAGACACACCCCCTCCTCCTCTCCCCGGCCTCCCAACAGCTGTTGTCACGGCAGAGACGGACCGCAATGCCGCCCAGACGCTCCCACAGTGGGGGCCTCCCGATTCTTTTAAGCGATGGAGGGAGGGAGGGGCCAAGAAGACGCCACGCCCCCCCCCACACAGCACGTGGCGGAGGGGACCACGCACAGGAAGGAAATACTTATGGAGTTTATTTTTGTGTTTCTTTTTCTCAAAGCTT